CACCCCCTTCCCACCACTTTCCACCACTTCCCTGCATTTGTGCTGTGGCAGAGCTGCAGCTGGCCTCCACTAGTTGTTCTTAGCAGCTGGAGGAGTGGAGATTATTGAGACTGTTCAGAGACATGTTCTGCCACACCTCCAGGTGCAATCTGCTGGAGATGGTGGTTCTGGGGGAGGCACGGAGAGGAGGGGAGCGCAATGGTGTAGGGAAACAGGGGCCAATCGTTGAATGACCAGTGGTGAGCAAAAGTCCAAGGCTAGCATCTGTATGCAATACAGCTGCATATATGTTTGAAGTCCCATTCCTGCCTGGTCAAGAGCATTGTTGCTTGTTGTGCCACCTCGTGTTCATGCGCATGATCGGCTTGCCTCAGTGTGCTGAGTGAGGTTATTGTGAGCACTATTACCTTTTTGAGGATCACTTTGGTTCAGGCTTGCTTCTCTTTGTGTAATCCATGTGGTCATCATAGATTGTGTTCAGGCTTGTCACCCTTTAATAGCATGGAGGACAATGGGGGAGGGAAATGGGGGACCACTTTTGAATGACAAATCCTGAACACTCGAATAGCAAGGAGGCGGGTAGGTAAATGGGTCCGAAATTCTCCCAATTAGTGAATGGGGAATCCTAAACACTCAAATGCAAGGTTTCTATCCGGATGCATTGCAACTGCATGAATATTTGAGACCACGTTCATGCCTCAGCAGGAGCAGTTGCTGTTGGTTGCACAGTCTTGTGTCCCAGTGCCACCATGCTCTGGTGACCTCAATGTGGTGACTGTGGTTATTGTGAGAGCTATGTGCCTTTCGAGGATCACCCTCCCCCCCCCCCCCCCCCCCCCCCCCCCCCCCCCCACCTATCTCGGAAAGGGCGGCAGTCTTGAGGTATATCCACAGGTGACCGGCCCCAGGTGATTCGAGACTATTCTGGAAGTTGATGTAGATTATATGTCATGATTATGACTGATTGAACTTCCTTATTGAGCTTATATTGTGCCAGGTATGGTGAGAGTTTTTAAGGCTCTGGAAAGTATCGTGAAATTGGGTCTTAACCTATAGCTTTCTCGGGCCGCCCGGCCGGGCGCCCCGGGCGCCTCGCCCGGGTGGGGACCTCGCCCGGGGTACCCCGGGCATGAAAAAAGTCC